AATCGAATGGATTTCACTGATGTTATCAAATTTTATAACGGTTTGTAGAAGGATTTATTAAATATTTTATTAAACATTCATTGACGAAGAAATAGCTTTTCAATAAAGCTGTAAATTAGCAATCTTAATATCAGTAATTTGATTTATTGTCGCGAGAAATTTTAAGAACTTTAATAACTGTCATTGTTTTGTATGTCTGATTCTACTTGCTATAAATTGTTTTTTTTTTCCCACTGATTTCAAACTAAACAAAAAACGAAACATGAATTTGTAGAGATGGCAGAAAGGCACAATGTGGAGGAACTTTTGGATTCAGCTCGCAGTCTTTTGCAACGTTTACAGGCAATTATTATGGAACTGGAACCGGTCAAGAACTGAATTTGACTATTGGCGATATAATGAAAACACCTAACACAATCATTAGTGCTAATGCTTATTAGCTTGAGATATGAATTGAATTTTTCAGTACAGTTTTCTTCCAGTCCGGAGAAAAAAGAATTCTCTTCAATAATGTTAAGGAAACAGAATATAGCTGATAGTTTTAGGAAAACGAAATTCAACTTCTGATTGGTGAAGTTGAGTGATAAGAGCTTCGGAAATGTAATCTTAAATGACGGCAACTGTATAACATTTCATTTTTAATCAAAACTCAATCTAATTTATGGCTCTTTAACAAACAAAAAGATCCAATCTTCCAATGTTATTATTGAGAGATCACTTCAAGAGAGTTAGAAAATCAAAATCAATGGCTTACATTTACATAATTCATGCTGTGCATATAAGACTACTAAGTAAGTTGATAAACAAGTAACTCCCACGTCTTAACCTTTTTTCTTACTACTTCATGCAGCATGAAAATATACTTTTGTTTTTCTAATACTAATTTACAAATACCACTTTAAGTGTTCAAATAACTACTATTATGTTTACTGATTCGATGTTTCCTACTTCTCTGATCTGATTTAGACTTTTCTATCTATCCATTCATCAATGATTCTTCGTATTGCGGCTTATTTTTTATTCACTTTTCTATGGCTATTTTTGATTTATATTACCGTCTGTAAAGTTTTTGTGAATGCTAACTGCCAAACAATTAACAGAAGTAATTATCGGATCCATTGCATCGATATTGATTAATACGGTTGGAGACAACTTCTTTGTTGTGGATATGAAAAAGAATGCATTATTCTACTGTGGGATTTAGGCTACAAATTTTCGAGTTTGGAAATGCGACTTGGTTCTTCCATTATCAAACGATAATCAATATTTTTGACAAAAAAAATCTCTGGTAACGTCAGAGAAGATCAACAAGTTCACATCAATCAAAAAGTTAATTTAAAAAGCCTTGAAAAAACCTAGTAAAATTTCTTCCCAGCTATTATAACGAATCAAATCTTTGAGATATTTGGCTTATTAGCTTTGTATCAGTTGATCGATTAGCAGCTATAACGAACCTAAATAATATTTGTTTCGTAATCAATATGAATTGAAAGGAAAGAAGGATTTTTGTAATTTTCATATTCTACATTCTGATCCTAGCAATTATTCTGACAAGAAACCGGTTTTCTCATCAAAAAAAAGATTGCCTCCCTGAAATTCTTGAAATGATGGTTGGATTACAAAAATCACAAGAAAACTCTGGAACTTTCTAATTTAGAATAACAACTTGACGTCTGCAAACGTGATACAGTTTGGACCATTCGGTAAAAAAAAATTGCAAAGAAGACGCAAACTATGTGAAAAGTAAATTACTTGGCAGCGGATCTGGTCAAACAATTCCATACATAAGTGTTAAGTTACGCAGCAAACTCTTTAGTCTTGACGTAAACACGTGCACATTGGTGTCACGATTATTCCGAATGTCTCATCCATCACATCGTAATCATTGCTCTGTCACTGATCGAATATTATAATAACTATTGCGTGATTAGTGAAATAGAATTTTCATTTGTAATTTTAAATTCGTTAATATATAATTATGCCTGTTTATCCCATTTATTCTCTTTTCAATTTAAAAAAAAATTTTTACGCAGCACTGTTGCAATGCAATTCTGCAGTACAACATATATCACGCATTTTAAATTATATTTCCATTAATGTTTTGTGGTATTGTCTCCTTCTTTTTCATTAAACTTGAAACTAAATAATTATGGGAGCTCAGTTTTATCTTTTCCTGATAAACAACTTTTTGCAAATTTGTATTAAGCATGGGAATAATTAGCAAATATTTGTATCAGATTTTTGCATTCAATGCAATTTTTTGATTAACCGAATTCTCAGAATGCCAGTCACATACAATGTCTGCTGTATACGGATGATAAACCACCTCAAAATATGAGCATAATTTACTTTATTTTACTGATCCATCTTTAATCAATTGAAAATCATTAATTAATTAATACATATATTTGTGTTGAAAATCTTCTAATTAAGGTACAAAATGATGTAGTATTGTCGTCCAACAACTTTCATCACTATCAGATATCCAAATATCATGGAATGTCATATTGTCACATCTATTAATGCTTCAACAGTAACATTCGGTAAGCGAAAAAATGATTCAATTATCACAATAAAGTGAAATGAGAGATCGCACCACAATGTAGGATGTGGTGAGATGGACGGTGTTCGGGAATTTTAAAGACTCTGCGGACGAACTCCTGAACGAAGCATTGAGAAACGATGCAAATTACATCAACATTGCTGCATATTGCTGCGATCAAACACGATTCGAAGAACTTCTTGGACAGGTTATTATCACTTGTTTTTTTTTGGACAGGTTATTATCATTTCCTTTTTCTTTTTTCCATCTTTTAAATATTATGTGAACTTTTCGTCCAATGCATTTTCATGCATTATTAGAATGACTTACCTTTACATATTTCCAGGCATTAACCAAAATTCTACGACAGATGTATCACATCAGTATTAAAATAAGCCGATTTGAATTGGATCTTTCACGACATAAGCTCATATCCTTCTTGAACATCTTACAATTAGCCTCAAAAGATTGAAATTGGCCTATGTGGACACTTGTTATCATCAGATCTAATCTGGCTAATGCTCTTTTCAACAAATTGAACATGTCTGAAGTGCTTGAAATTTGGTCTAAATTTTTAAAATTTACGACATCTTATACAATCATTTTTCTTGGGGGGTTTTTTTACAATACATTAAATAGTCTAATTCTCATGATAGACTTCTAGTTATCTATGTTTATGTTTTGTAACAAGCAGATATCATCAGTTACTTTTATTCATATCAGATAATCAGAAAATACCATACCTTTTCTTCAAAGAAATCTCTTTTCTATTCCTTATAACTGATAAAAAAGATAAAGTGAAAGATTAATCTGATTGACTAAAATAGTTATTGAACATCTGCTACACAGACCAGTAAAATAATAAAAGCTTAGCGTGAGTTTGTCGTCCATGAAATGTGGGACGTTTTTTGATTAGTGTTAATTTAATTAGTACAACTTTCATTAGGTTTCATTCTACTACAATACTGATACTAATTCATTCCTTCTTTTCATATCTTTATCAAAATTATCGTTCATTCATTTGCAGTTATGGATTGTCGATTGCAATTCGTTTGCTGAAATATTTGGTGGTGAATTCCGAAACATTTTGTATGTATTTTAATTTCATCGATGGTAGAAACTGTCCTTTTTCTTCTTTCATCTTTCATTAATCTTCTTATTGAGAATTACCTTTGACCAAACCTTTGCAACTGAATGAATATATGCATCACCATGATATTATTAAACAAATGGAAATCACAGCAGAATAAGACATTGTTATTATTTAACTTTGATATCATGTATCAGAGCAGATGATATGATATCATCAAGAATTCAAATTCCACATTTCCGGAATTTGAACATTATGGATAGAAAAACAGAAGTTACGCACAAACTGTGATCCCTTTACCAACTGAATTCATATTTATCAATCTGTTTTAACTTGTAACAGAATTTACACTAAACGAAATAGGTATTATAAATTGGCGCACTATTATCGATGGGCCTTCTAATGAACGATGGATCACCAAAATGGCATCCTTCATCATCATGTGTCCTTCG